TGGAGGTGCTGAGTTCAGGCCCCCTACAAAATCGGAAAGAGCAACTTGATCTGTGCCATCGGCGCGAATTGCACGCTTCCTGATGAACTACACTCATGCAGCCTCGACCATGGACACCACAGTGTACAACCAGATCGGCATTCCCCAACGTGGACCTCTGGCGCATTCTGTCCAATGGGCAGCGTTGCATTCCAAATGTTAGGTCGGCGACTTTACGATTAGGGGCGGTGCCCGGCCCACCGCCCATGGAAGCGTACGACGACAAGTGGCCGGGGGGGTACGTATAGTCGAGATGGCTCGAGCACCACCAGCAAAACACAGGAGCAAGCAGAACGCCCACGAACAATTATAAAGAAGGCTTTGGAAATGAACGAGACGACGATTTTTTCCATCATCCGCTCAGCTCCAGCCCAGTCTTTTTTTTCCTCCAGAAAAACGAGCGATTTTACCGCGTTGATTTTAAGTCATCTTTGCTCACCACCATGGTTCAAATTTCCAAAATCACTGGCGCGCTCACTGCTGCCGCGCTCTTCGCCTCGGCTGGTGCTCATCCAGGAGAGAAGCACGACCATGATATCGTCAAGCGTCAAATTGCTGCCCGCGAGCACATGGCTTCGCACGCAAAGCGTGGCCTCGACAACTGCGCCTCCTCGCCCAAGGCCCAGCAACTCAAGGCCCGTTCAATTGCTCGTCGCGCCCAGGTGGCTCAGCAACTGCGCCAGAAGCGTGGAATTACTGCCAGTATGTCAAACCCGCAACGGCAAAATGAGAGACGAGAAAAGAGAATGAAAAAGGGAGAGGAGAACAAGAATATGGGCTAATGTCAAACAGAGCCCAAGAAGTTCCGCCGCGACCTCGCAACCCTCGAAGAGTATGAAGCCATCAACCACAACATGACTGGCATCTCGAACTACGACGCCCAAACGGATGCAAACATCATCTTTGGTGGCAACACCAGCTGCATTCTCGCGCCCGAGGTCACCGACGGACCTTACTACGTCACGGGCGAGATGATTCGGAAAAATGTCAAGGAGGACCAGTACTCGGACGGCGTGGACTTGTACCTCGAGGTGCAGTACGTTGACGTCGAGACCTGCGAGGGTGTGCCTGGCGTCTATGTCGACATCTGGAATGCCAACGCTACGGGTGTCTACTCTGGAATTTCCACCAGGTAGGCCTTCCTCCGTCTTCTTACACATCAATGTAGGAAAAATGGCCCAGGGGACTGCTCGAGAACAAACGGAGAACTAACGGTGGCATCGCAGCGGCAACTATGCAGCCGACGGACTCAACAGCACGTACCTGCGCGGCATCCAAGCGACGGACAAGGACGGCGTCGTCGCCTTCGAGACCATCTTCCCCGGCCACTACGACGGACGCGCGACGCACACGCACCTTCTGGCGCACATGAACGTCACGGTGCAGCCCAACAACACCATCACGACGACCAACAACATCACGCACATCGGACAGGTGTTCTGGAACGAGGAGCTGCGCTCCGCCGTCGAGGCCGTCTACCCCTACACCACCAACACGCAGGCCGTCACCTCCAACTCGGAAGACATGTGGGATAGTGCGTTTTTCTCCTCCTGTGGTCGATATAAAGTAGCTAATGATCTTACCATCACAGTCGTCCAGGCCGGCACCACCTACGACCCCTTTCCCGAGTACGTGTACCTCGGCGACGAGGTCGACGACGGCCTCTTCGCTTGGATCCAGATCGGCATCAACACGACGGCCAACTACATCGACGACGACTACTACAGCGTTGCGGCGTACTACCAGGCTGACGGCGGACACGAGAACGAGGACTCGGCCATTGGTGGCAGTGGCATGGGCGGCGGCAACGGCACCACAAATGGAACCATGCCCAGCGGCACGCCCAGCGCTGCTTGAGCGTTACGCCTTGAGAGGTGAGGCAGCAGGATTGCCTCATCATGTGGAGATTGTGTTGATAGACTTGGGGTCAGGTTGCCCTGGAGGTGAACAGGCGGACATGACGGCGTTTGCTTTCATATATTATCAGACATTTGATTTCGGTTCAAGGTATCCATCTCAAAAAAATTCAGTGGCTTCATTCAACAACAAATCCAAACACTGCGCATTTGTGCTTGACAGGTTTGACCAAAATCAAATTATGCCCCAGAAAAGCACTTCAACACCCAGCATCCAGATGAAGTCGCTCCCATTAACAGATCATTAGCATACGTACTGACACCCAACCGCTCGACCAGGATCTTCATGAAAAGCAGTATAGAGGAGGGTATCGAAACAAACAATACCTCCTCACACTGCGGCTGCATCCAGGGAGCATTCGTCCACAATCACAGCTGCGCCTAGGATGCTGTTGTCCGCTACCGCGATTACTTAGCAGGACGTCTCACCCACCGAAGACAACGCCGGTCAATGTGTTGGCCCAGATGGTTCATGGCAGAGGAATCAGCCAGTCCTACTACGTTTGCCGTTGAGAACAAGCGACTTGGAGCTCGGTATATCAAAACAACCTCCCGAAGGCCTGCTAGTCAGGAGATGCTCGCTGAACCGTTCGAAGTGGCATTCGAACAGGTGTTTGTCGCTCAGCTAGAGCCGGGAGTGCCGCGCCCCGGAAGGATAAAAGACAAGCACCACCCGACCGACGCTGAGGAGCAAGCGGCTTTCTGATATGCTTCAAGGCTGGAATACCCAGTGGACTGGAGACCGGCCCAGAGTGGCGGTCCAATCGATGAGATGACGCCTCAACATGTGATTGACCAGTGGGAAGACGAGTTCCCCAAGTTGGTGGGCGATTTCCCCATGACATACGAACAATGACAAGCCAATGGAGAGTTATAGTTCACTAAACTGTGGTGGTTGCAGCACATCATTGCGGACAATAGGGGATCGGAAACCAAAGAGGAGAAGAAACTGCAAGGATTCGCAACGGAATTCGTTGCAGTTGAACGTTGAAAGGAGAAAGAGCCAACGGAATCACGATCACACAGCCGCAAGAGGGCGGCAGTGGAGAGGACTGTGTCGAGTGGTAAATAAATTGGTTGCGGCACATAATGACCTCGCTCAACCCAACTGGACGACAGTACTAAAAGGGTATGCAGACGATCTCTGGTGGTGATGGAAGCACTGGTTCCTGTTGAACGCATGCATGCCATGCGACAACTCGAAGCGTGTGGCAGAGCGCATCTCAGTTCCACACTGCATCACGTATAGACCTCACAGCAGCCCAGGAGCAAGTGAGCAATCCATCAGGAGGCGGTATGGTTGACTTCAAGACAAGTAACAGCCCTTAGCCATGCGGCTGGACTGATGGAGGCTGTCGTTCATCACCACGGTTGCACTCAGATATTTACCATTCTTTTGAAATCCATGGCGAGGCACTGCTGGTTCCAAAACATGTCGGTCAACACGCCGTATTCTCTACCCAAGCGACAGGTGTGAAAGTCAAGCGGATTATGGGCACTGACTCATCCGATCGAGTCCTTCGGGCAAGTGGGATGTACTGTAGAATTGTGTCTCTGACCAAGGGACGTCAATGTCGACAGTGGACTGTTACGCAATGGTGGAAGGCGCACTCTCGAAACCAAAGTGCCAGCAGTCGGGGGTCTTGTGGTGGATACGGTGCTACGAGGTAGGATATTCGCAATTCGCTTTCATAGACGGACGACGTGGACAAGCATGGCTCGTCGGCGACTCGAAAGGTGTGCTGTTTCGTACCATCTGCTTCCAAGTTTCTCTCCATCGGTTTAGAGGAAGGTTTGGTCTTTGTGGATGACCTATGCCTGTCAATAATACTAAAACAAGCAGAAATATGGCCCCGCAAAGAAGGTCAGGGGCGGCTCGCGAAGTAGCACGCTTGGCCTACGGAAAGAATGAAAGAATTGGACGCACTGAACCAGAAGGAAAGGCCGACAGGTGACTGGCGACAATGCTGTTGGATGAAGCGCATGGAAAGTGAAGGACAGCGCTGGAAAGGAGTCCAGTAGAACGGGACAATCAATGCACAGCGCAGATGGACAAACATGCAAGGCTCAACAAAACAACAGAAGACAGTGACAAGATCCGGAGCAAAGGAAGAAGCAAAGACAAGAAGCGCCCGCGAACGAAAAATACAAGGCTGTCGAATCGAACCATCTCTTCCGATGCCCACCCATCCTGACTGTCGAGCCACCAACGCACCCACTCCCCCAGTCCCAATCACTCCACGCCTCCTGCTCCACCTCGCATTCTTTCGCTGCCCACGGCAGACAAATCACAGATTCATCAGCGCGCCCAGAACCTATAGTCCTCGGCCTCGCTCACGCGCACAGTAGAGCCTGCCTGCCTACCCGGCGAAAAGGAGCATCTCACGTCCCTCGCGCATGCGCACATCGCGGCCTTCGGAGATGAAGCGGACAACAACGACGAAACGGCGGGCCGGCAGCCGCACGCAACAGCTTTACCTCCTCTTGCCGTGCTGTGCTGCTGGCGAGGATGAAGCCGTCACGGTCCTCGGGGAAGCGGGGCAAAAAATGATGGAGAATGCAGGACCTGAACTGGCCGCGTGACTGTTGCTGCCGTGAGCTGTCGCGCTCGCGCGCGGCTGCGGTCCAAAAGGCCATCCAAGCGCCGGAAAAACGAGGCGAGCAACAAAGGACGAGTTCGTTCGGACGACGGTTTGCTGCACGGTCTTCATCTCCCCATTACGGCCTTTTCGTTCGGTGCCGACGAAAGAAGGGCGAAGGAGCTCGTCGTTCGTTTTTCGACCGAGTGCCGATGCGGCCCCCGTCTCCTAGACTGACAACAGACCGGCTGACTCCCTTGCATTTGCTCGCTTCGGTAACCCGTTTTGACGTTCGCGGTCGCCCTTTTGTGTTTGTGTTCGTCTCACCAAAAAGGTCGGTGCTGGGGCCCGCTTACAGCTAACCCGCCCCCTTAGGTCCCCACCCCTCCACAACACCACCAATTCAACACCCACAACCAACAAAAGACAAAACCAAAAAGGAAAGTGCGCAAGGCACACAAGCTGTCGACGCCTAAGAGATTCGAACTCTTGCCCCCGAAGGGAATAGATTTCTAGTCTATCGCTATAACCACTCAGCCAAAGCGCCAAAGATGAAAAGCTTGCCAGCTTGTACAATACTTATATGTAACAAATAAAACAAACAAAGCCCACTTCTCAGATTGAAGGTCATGTTGAAGCTGGGCAATGACATCACAGAAGGTGGCGACTTGAAAAATTTTGCGTTGGTCCCTGACCCCTGGCCTCGTACCTGTGGTACGGAACAAAAGGTTCTGACTAAGAATTGCGCAGCTGTGTAGGTTCAACTGACTCGTCGACGGATTTGGAAACAGGCATGATTCCAATTCCAGTGATGACGAGCTTCCAGTGGTCTGGTGATGGTCGAAGTTGATGATTTGACGATGATTTTGACGGTGATTTGTGGTCGAAGTGTCTCTCTAAATCATCTCATGGGGTTCCGTTCGACATTCAAATGCCAACCGCACCTGGATTGACGGGAAACTAATACACTCTCAGCATGTACAGGGTAGAGATATCATTGGAGATGGTTTATACATAAAGGTACAAGGAGCGAACATGAAATTGAAGCGAACGTCGAACCAAACCCCAGGATCAAAGAACACACTTTGCTAGCACCTACCACGTGGTTCTGGACTTGCCAATGGATGTAAAATGGTAATCACGGTAGGGACCTTCGTCAGAGGCTGAGAAGACGACGGATGTGGCGCCGTTGCCCATCGCTGCGTGGTTCAGTAAACAAACATCGCAGGGAGGGAGCCCAGGAAATCTCTGTCTTCATGACGTCGAAGGGCGGACAAAAAGTGGCCAGAGTATCAGGTACACGTCCGACCTGTCCCTGATCTCCAGACGAGGCGTGAAGTTAGTTGTTGGCGGGGGGCTGCCAAGGTAATGGTAACAAGAACCGTGGAATTCCGATTCCGACAAGTGTTTCGTAACATGGCGTTTTTTCGGCAAAACAACGTCACGATCAATGTGCCGCTCTCTGCCGACCGATGCGAATCGACGAGGCCGTCAAAAGTGGACGCAATGCAGGAGAACCAACCTACCGTGAATTCGCACGTTGCGACCCAATTATGAGTCGTTTGACCGCTGCGAATATCATCCTCTGCCGCGCTGCAGGTGCATCAGCGAAATCGGCTCTCACGTGTCCCAGTCAGAGTTTTAAAGGCGCATAGACTCCAACCCCATGGGCGACTGACTCCGGAAAATGGTGCCATCGTGGAGAAGTCGACTGCGGGCGTTACCCCTCGTTTGGGGAAGAAGAGTGTGAGAAGCTCCGCCGAAGGGCATCAAGAATCGACATGCAAGATCACACAACATGTTGTTGAGTGTCTCGTGTCCTCAACGGCGGTGTGCGCAGCTGCGGGCCTGTTCGAACTCTAGGATGACGACTCCGACCCTTGCGACCTTGCGACGTGGCCGTGGCCGAGAAAGGAGCGGCGCCGTCTTTCGTGCAGGAAGGCCAAAACAGCCCCCAAACGTGGGTTCGCGCGCAACTCCTCCGGGGAAAGCAAAGGAAATGAAGATGGGGTTGGCAAATATCGGCACTTGCCCACCTGACGCGTAGGTAATGGTCGACGGCCTCCTGCTGGTTTTTTGAGAGCGACTCGGCCAAGAGGAACGGACTGACGTCACGCGGTGGATGCGTCGGCTGAGATTGCCACCACACGGTCCAGTGCCAATAGGGCGAATGGCTGTGTTGGCATACGGAGACGAACAGCTGCTGCTTACAGCTCTTGTCGCGAGTCCTCTCGCTATGCTACGAGACACACAGTCTTCGCGTTTCCCCAGGCTGCGCGGTGTGGCTGGGGAATATGGAGATATGCGCAAAACATGGAGGAAATGAGGAGTTGCTGTGGGCTCCCCATGGGCGTTGCGAGCACAGCGTCAGGCAGTAGGTCCGGAGTCGCTTGGTGAGCAAGCCCCATCAGCCCACAAAAGACCCCTACAGCACTGTGCGAGAAGTGGCATGGTAGGGGGTTAGCGGGCGTCTAGATTGCTGTCTTTGCGTTTTCGCACCTCCACAACAGGGCCGGAGAACAGTCGAGAGCGAAGTTTCGTCTCCAAGAAACGTCGTGACCGTGAAAATTCCTAAGCAGCCGCCGGGAGGATGCTATACTTGGACACCTGGGGTTCTGGGGAGCGTGGCGGAGCTGTCCTTGCCGACCGGCATCGCATTTTGAACGATCACAAGGTCCTGCCGAATGCAGGCCGGCGGCCTCGACTGTTCCATCACGCTAGAGTCGTGAGAAGATCATGATAAGGTCGTGGTGTAAAAGCACGAACGGGAAAGGCGTCTGCCGTAGCAACGTCTAGGACAGGGAGCGAGAGACGCAGCAACTGCATTGAGCAGCGGCACGGCGGAAGGCGTCTTTTTTGGCAGGCCCACAGCGTGTCCTGCCTTGGCACGTTCCAGGAGCGGCGTAGTTCTAACGACAGAAGGCGTTAGCCGATGACAGAGAGTCGTTTGATAGAGTGGGAAACAGGTGTCGTCCTTGGTCACCTTTATGAGATCGGCCTGAGAATTCTGGACTCTCAAGTCCGCTGGCCTTGGGACATTCCATCTCTCCTTGCAACAAGTGCGGCTTCCAGGACTGGGTTCGGGTGCTGCCGCCCTGCATCAGGCTCGAGATCTGGTTGTTGGATCGTCTGATCAGCATGAAATGCTCAGACGCAGATGGCTGACATAACCGTAAAGGTGCTTAGAAGAGTGCTTGGGCTTCGGCACCATTGCGGCGGACAAGTGTAAAAGGCCCACCGGATTTGTCGGTGCCGAGTCCTCGATCCACCTGCCATCCGGCGTCAGCCAATGCTTCCCGAGAAGCGTCCGCAGTGGCCAGATTCGCGCCCGCGGTGGTGGATACAGCGAACGCCGTTGCCGCCCCGGTTGGCAGTGACCTTCCGACTGCCACTCGAAGCTGGGACGTCATCGGGGGACCTGACCATGGCCATGGCTGTCGACTTTGATGCCCGCTCGCAAAAGTCGGGAGAGCTGAGAAAGCTTGCCTCCTTTGGTTTCCGCCCTCACCTTATATATCTTCTTCCTCCCAGGACTCCCCCTCTTGGATCGTCTGATAACATTCCCCTCAAGGCCCATCTCGTTCAATATTAATACCATGGCGCCTCAGAACAAGGCCGAACCAAACAACGGCAACGAAGTGTCCTGGGTGGAGCAACACAACGCCGACTCCTCTCAGACCTCGAGCGACAACGGAATGCCGACAACCAAAGGCCACGGGAAAGTCAGGGGCCGCGTCGCTGGCGGTGTGTACCTCGAGGCCGTCAACGCGGAGGCGACCACGGGCACCGGCCATGGTCCCCTAAAAGAGGTGGAATGCGACATGCCTCTTACATACACCGAAATCGTCCACAAGGATGGCGAGGAGTTCGTCCTCCTCACGTTTGCGCCCGGCGACAAGGAGAATCCATTCAACTGGCCCAACGCGAAGAAGTGGTTCATGTCATGGCTGCTCTGTCTCATGACGCTCACGATTGGTCTGGCAACGACGGCGTACAGTTCCGGTATCAGCAGCATGTGCTCGGATTTTGGCGTCTCAGATGAGCTCGGCCAGTTGGGTCTGTTCTTCTTCAACTTCATCTGCGCCATGTCTCCCATGTTTCTGGCTCCGTTCTGTGAGCTGGTTGGTCGCAAGGTCATTTACGTGGGAGCCTACTGCTGCTTCTGCATCACCTTCATCGGTCTGGCCCTCGGCAAGAACATTGCAACAATTCTCGTCATGCGTGCCTTCCTGGGTCTCTTTGGCTGCGTCGGCACCATCCTCGTCGGCGGTACCTTTGATGACATGTTTGAGCCCAGGGAGCGCTCGCGCGCCATGGCCCTCTTCTCCTACGTCGCAATTCTCGGCACGGTCGGCGCTCCCATCTACGCCGGATTCATCGACGAGACCATTGGCTGGCGCTGGATCGAGGGTATCCAGGGTCTGTCCTGTATTCCTCTCCTCATTGTCCTCGTCATCTTCTTCCGGGAGACTCGCGGTGGCGTCACGCTCGCGGCACGTGCGAAGCAGCTCCGTGCTACGACCAACGACCAGCGCTACAAGGCCGAGCAGGAACTCATCGCCAAGGACATTAAGCAAATGCTCAACGCTTCCTCGGTCAAGGCCATCAAGATGTTGGCATCCGAGGGTGTCGTCTTGGCTTTCGGTCTCTGGATCTCGTTCGCTTGGTTCTTGACCTTCCTGTTCTTGTCGGTCATTCCCATCACCTTCCAAGAGAACCATGGATGGAGCGAGGGTATTGGTAAGTTTTCCACTCACACTTTGATGACGTCCGCTAACGAAGCACAGCTGGTCTTCCGTACATCTCGCTCTGCCTTGGCACCACCATCGGATACGGCGCCAACTTCTTCCAGATCAAGAGGTACGAGGCTCTCGTCAAGGCGAACAACGGCCAGGTCGAGCCCGAGGCCCGTCTGTATGGTGCTCTCTTCGGCGCGCCCTTCCTTCCGATCGGTCTTTTCATCTACACGTACACGCAGTACGCGTTCGTCCACTGGATGGGTCCCGTCGTTGGCCTGGCACTCATTGCCATTGGCATCTTCTTCATCTTTGAGTCGTGCTACTCCTTCACTGCCGACTGCTACGGCACCAACTCTTCGTCTGCCATTGCTGGACAGGTAAGCTGAGCCTTGTTTTCCGACTCATGACACAATTGCTGACTTTGGTAGGGTCTTATGCGTAACACTCTCGGTGCCGTGTCGCCGCTGTTCGGATCTCAGTTCTTCCACAACCTGGGTTCGCAGTGGGCTGGCCTTTTGCTCTCGCTCGTTGCCGTCCTGTTGACGTTCATCCCCTTCGTCGTGTACAAGTACGGCCCTGCCATTCGTGCCAGGTCCAAGCTTGCGCAGAGCACTGCTGCGTCCGAGGAGGCGTCCGAGGAGGAGGTCAGCGAGATTGAGGATGAGAAGGCAGGCGCTGAGCTGTCGGTTCCGCAGCACTAAAGGTGCATGCCACGACGATGGATATGTTGATCAAGTTTTGATTTGTTGGCGAGGCGTTTCGCGGCGCATTCGCCCGTTTTCTTTTGTCGCATGAATTTTGGAGCGAA